TGTTTTGTTTTTAGCAATGAAACAAACCCAACCAAACTGTTGTTGTTAGTGTATAATATATTAACTAATAATTTGTTATTTTGTTACTTCCATTCCACAACCATATTTTTACTTTTCAAAGTAATAATTCAAATTATTACTCCTTTATTGAACAGTATGTTCCAACACATTCGGTTTTTACTTTTTTACATTAAAATCAAAAGTTAAAAAAATTTAATAAATTGATCGATTGTCCTGTTTTTTTCGTTTTCTTACTTTGTTTTACAATTGAATTCTATAAATATCTAATATTTAACTCATCGTGATTTATACATACATTTAATAATACCAAACAACTATAAAACCTGGCATAAAACGCTGTTTTATGACAAAATTGATTTATTATGACCAAAATGTATTGTCATATAAAATAACAGGAAAGAACTTCTTCTGAAAAGAGTCACATTTTTATCATTAAAAAAAACTGTTTATTCAAGCCAATTTTGATATTACAAAATTCTGTTATACTGTTATATCCACATCTCCCTTATAATGTAAATAAAATGTTTAGTACACTTTTTAATAATATTCAAAAGATGTTCTTTCCTTTGTGTTTGATTGGAAAACCCAAACGGGGTTTTAATTACCAAAAATAGAACTTCTTTATTGTTTTGTTCTATTTTATAATTCCCAATTCTTTACAACTATTATTTTATAGTAATCTACATAATAACTAATAACACTTAATAAATAAAAATACACGTTTGGCGGTTTTTTGGGAAGGTGCCAACCATGGAATTATTGCGTGGAATTAAATCAACGAAGTTTTTATATTCCAAAAATACTCAATTTAAAACAAGCAAAAAATCAATAACCCCCCAAATGATAAAAATAATAAAAATTCGAATTTCTTGTGTTCGAAAACCACCAGAGAGACCGATATTAATTCACTCAAATTTCAATCAAATACAACGACAAAGATGTTGACCTTTTTGTTGATTTCTTTCACTTTCGCCTATAACATGTTTGGATTGACTGCCACGGACAATCCCACACAAGCGAGCAACGAATTGTATGTTCGAGATAAGTGCACCACCTGTTGCCGAGTACTTTTGGCCACACAATGGAATTACGATAAAAACAAGGCATTTACTGAAGACGATTATAAAAAGGGTGATTCAAGATACTTTGTGATGGACATGGAGTTTGATAATATTAACGAAGTAAGAAGACCAGCTGGAAATTATGAACAAGTCATTCCTTTGAGACCACTTGTTGAAGGTAAAACATTCCAATTCTTTGAATTTGCGGCTTATAAGATGTACACCTCTTTTGTGTATCCAAAGAGAGTCCATGACATTAGAGGAGGTGCAAATGTAAATTCAAGACTTATCATCTGGTCGAGAAATCCACCACTTTCGAATGCCCCGGGTACTGTTAACCAGAGATTTGTCTATGTCCACGCGTATGACGAAAGCTTCTACACTTCGACTTTTGAGAAGAGATGGAGAGCTTACAAGTACCACTTCTTCTTGCCTTTCAATACCGCAAAAGATTTGTGCTATGAAAGCTGTATTGGCAGCGATTTTGCGTCGTGGGCCGGACAGGCTCAATTCAAAAACACTCCAAACTTCCATCAAATCAAAGCGGCTGTTTGTGTTGCATCGGACTCAAAACAAATGTTTACCCCAGTCTTTGCTTAAGTAACTTGTTTCTTTTTCTTTATTTGAAATGATACGAATTTTTTTAAAAAGACCACCAGAAATTTGTCGTTCTTTTTTTTATAATTTTATTATAGTTTCGGGTATTATTTTTTTCAACAATTGTTTTTTTTCCTGATTGTTCAGTCAAATATTTTTTATTAATTTTTCTCATTTTTGATGGTTGTTCAATACAAAAAACATGAGTGTACGACAATTTTCTTACTGTTGGACGGGTTTCTTGTGGTGTTTAATGTTTGGGATAAAAATCTTTGTTGACACTTCTTAAGATAATTTTATATTTATTTTATGTGTTATGATTAGAACAATAGAAAGAACTTTTTAATATATGTGTTGGTCATAACATTATGAAAGTTATAATGTTTAAACATCAAATTGTTAAATAATATTATTTACATTTAAAATATTTTGATTTTATTTTTACATCTTTATGCACTTTCAAGCCACTTCTTTTTTATCCTTTTGAGATCAAAATATAGTTTTTTAGTAATAAAAATTATTATTATAGTTTTTAACAATGAAAACTTTTAAAAAATTAACAATAGTTAAATCAATAACAATATTTTAAAAATAAAAACGAAATCAAAATAAAGTTGTAAAAGTTGTTTGAATTAAAGTGAGAAAGCACAGAACTCTTCCATTGTGATGTATCCGTCACCGTTGGCATCAGCCTTCATGACTTGTTCAACAGCTTGTTCACATCCAACCTTCTTGAAGAAAGCAGTGACTTCATCCTTAGTCAACTTTCCATCTCCATCGGCGTCCATCAACTTGTAAAGAACTTTAAGACCGATTTTGGCATCAGCCATATCAATGCCAGCAATAGCTTGATGGAACTTGGTGAACTCAGGAAGGTCGATTGTTCCGTCGTTGTCAACGTCAACAGCCTTGAAGATCAATTGAACGAGTTTCTCGTTCTTGATTTCCTTCTTAGCAGCAATAGCAGCTTTGACCTCTTCGTATTGGAGTTTGCCGTCGTTGTTGGTATCGATTGCCTTGAATGCAGCTTCAGCCATTATGAGATGACTGAACAGAAGTTGAAAGGATTTATATGGGGATGTACACGTTAACAAAAAATTGATGATTTCGTTTTTTTAAATTTTATTGTAATTCATTGGTTCTTTTCGATAACAGAAGACAAAGTCCCTCTTTGATCGATTTTTGAGTTTCACAAAAATTGTTTTGTTGTTTTATATATTTTTTAGTAAATTCATAAAAAAATAACCATATCCAATAAAATTTTTTTTATAAACCTCTTTGTATTTTTCAGTTTGATAAATTCGTTCTTCTGTTGTTTTTAGTTCTTTTTATATTTTATTTTTATAAAAAAAACACTTAAATTTATCATTATATAAAATGATAAAATTGTTTTATAATATTCAATTGTGACATTATAAAGAATTTTAAATAACAAAATTGAATCAAAATTTTATAATTATCATAAAATGTTAAGAATGTTGATATTCTAATAATTTTACAGTATATTATTTGTTTGTAGTTAAACATTTATCCAAAAGTTGTTACAATTATAATTGTTATATTAAACAATTTTGTAACCAATTTAAACCAAAAAGTGAATTACTCACTGAGAGACAGACTTGACCTTGTCTATCACCTTCTGTTCATCAAGTTCGATGTACCCAGTCGCCTGAATTTCGACAGACAATCCAACAAATGCTTGCTTGATTGTCGCCTTGGTTGCTGAATACACCATTTTCTCTTTGATGGAGCAAGCAGCTGGAGTCCACAAGTAAAAGATGATCTTTTCTCTTTTGCCACTTCCTTGGTTGTATTGAAGGTGATAAACGCCGTAACGGGCTGACTTTGGTGGAAGTGCTTTGGTAAAATCTTCATAAGTTTCATCGAAAGGAGCTGTTTTATCAACGACAATTTCTGTCATCTTGTCGTTCATCTTGAAAAGAATGTATCTCCACTTGTGGGACAACTTGAACTCGTTGTAAAGAGAAGTAACTTCGTCGCTTAATTGAATGCCAGACATTGAGATGATCTATCTGTTTTGGTGATGTTTTTATACCTTTTCAAATCTATTTTTATTATTTCTCAATTAAAAACAAACAACAAACTCCAAATCTTGTTTTTTCAACTCGAGTTGTTGTGAAGTTTCTATTATTACTCAATTTTTTGTGTTTTATATAATAAGTTTTATAATATTTTTATTAAAATTGGTTTCTTAAAAGTTTATAGTTTTATCAATAAGTTATATAAATAGTTAAAATGTATTATTATTAATAGTATTTATATTTATTGTGTATTTTTGGAAATAATCATATTTAATTTTACCACAAAATTATCAATAAAAACAAAATTAACAAGAAACTATTATATATAATAATTTTAACAACATTAAATTATTTTAAAATATAAAGGATTGTTATAAACCAAAAAATAATTAGTGATTATAAATAAAATATATCATAAAAATAAAAATACAAGTGATGTTTCATTTTAAAAAAGAAGTCCACAACGTCAAATTTTTATCACGATCATCACCTTTTGTTTCACAATAAATCATTATTATTTAATTTTGTTCAATGTTTAAACTGGTTTTTATCCATATTGTTTATAATATTTAGAAAATTAGTTTTGTCCCAAATGCAGTGGATGGTTTTTCCAAGTAAATATAAGTTGAAATTTGCATACAAAAATAAATTATTGTTATTAGAACACATATTTGTTTTTAAAAAAATTGAATGAAAAGTTTATTTAAAAAAATTACTTACATCATTCTTTATAAAACAAAAAATAATATACAATGACATGTAAATAAGAGTTTTAATCGTTCATAGATAAAACGATATATTTGGTACGCGATGTGAATCAATTGAAAACAATAATAAATCGAACAACTATAATTACACAACGAAAAAAAAGTGTCTTGAGCGTCGAGGAAAGAAAAATGTGTTGTTTCAAACAGCGAGTTTACCAAGTTATTGAATATTGTAAAATCATTCAAATTTTCCTTTTAATTTGTTAGTAATATTTTTGTATAGAAAGTTAATGAAAAACAGTCTGGCTCGGTCGTAAATTAGAGTAATATAATATTTAATTTGATATAATAAAAGAAAAATGTATACATATGAACAAACAATGGAAATAAAAAAAACTTTGGTTGATATTTTTTGTTTTTATTCTTTATTTAACAATAAAATTCATGTCAATAAAATAGGCCTTTTGAATTCAAAAACAATTGTTGTTGTTATTCTTGTGTCAATACTTATTACAGTCAAGTGCAACAACTTAATGTTTGTTTGGGTTTGAAAATAAAGATAATACATTCGCCAGCTAATTGAATCAAAATATGTGTAATGGAGTCAATGTGTTTAACCGACTGAGAATGATCATCGTTGTAACTTACAAATGTTATATGTACAAATTCGGTGTTTTATCTCAAACAAAGGGGTCTCGATATACAAATGAATCGTTTGTTTGGATCGATAATTATATACAATTTAATATAAATTATAATAAAAATTTATAATAAATAGTTGTACATAATAAAATATAGTTAAACTTATCGAGACGGACTTTTTTCATTTACTCTGTTCCCTCCCCTATAAGTTTTTTTTTCATTTTTCATCTAAAAACAACCAAAAAATACATTTAAATTTTACAAAATAAACAATGATTTGTATCTACAGATGGGCAACTAATTTGTCTAATAAACCTATTAGCATATTAATTTCCCATATTTGAGTCATAATTTCCCCAATATTTTATTCAGTTCCATCTCCAAATTCGTAATTTGTCTTCTTTCTACTAATTATAAACCAAACGGAACAAACTAAAAAAACTATCTCTCTAAAACTCGAAAATAAAATTATAAAAATTGATTTACCAACAACATTAGCACGTTGTTGGTGTACACTGTATCGACTGTTTGCTTTGTTTATGTTTTTATTAGCATTACACATAAGTGTTTATAAACCAACACAACCAAGGATGGCCTTTTACATAATTATTTTTTAATGCTGTCTTTATTTTCTATTTAAAATAATATGCAAAAGAAAAATAAGTAAATATTTGGTCTGGTATCAAATTCAAATAATGACGGACAGTCACCTCGAGTCAGTGGATACCAAGTGAGACAGCATCAAAAAGAAGGCTCCGTAAGACGCACTCTAACAGTCTATTAATGCACCCGTTCCACACTTTCCGGTCCTCTTTCGGCACCGATTCCTTCTGACCCCTTTCCCCTGCAAGCGGGGTGGAACCACATTCGCGTCCACATAACACGGACAGTGAATGTGTTGACATGGGGAAGCACAAACGGTCGCACAGAGGTAGACTTCCCTAAAAAGTAAAGAGGCAAATGCTTCACTCTGATAATTGGAGTGAGGGTCGGAAAGAACGGTCACAGTAGAAAAACTTTTTATGTGCAATTATTAACTAAATTTTTATTATACTTTTGTTCAACACAATTATTATAACTTTTGTTTATTGATTCTTCGTAATGAAGTGTCAATTGTATCATCAATCATATCAATGCTTGGTTTATTCCTAGTGTTTCAAAGTGTGGTGTGTTAATTTTTTATTTTCCATCCAACACTGTAATGTCCCGTTTTATTCAATAAAAAACGTGTCACGAACAAAAAATGGTTATTTTTTATGGATATGTTCCAAGTAATGTTTTACAAAATTATTATTAAAAAAAGACTGATCTAAATAAATCTAATAAATATTTTGAGTATAATAAAATTTAATAAATTTTACTATTTAAAGGTGTAGACAAATTAGTTACCGCAAGCAGGGTCGGCCAAACGATCATGTTATTGGAAAAAAACTTAAAAAACAATAAAATGGTAAATAACATTATCATTTTTGAAAAACAAAATGAAAATGACAAAACACAATTATTTATACCAAAAGATAAAATGAAATAATATAAAACGATAATTTATATTAAACACAAAATTGTTTTCAAATTACTTTAAAATACACAATAAACATATATCTTTATGTTAATATAATTGTACGTTAAAACCTTTCAATTGTAAATTATATATGTAAATAAAACTTATTCAAAGTTGCTCTGATAATAGTTTTTTATTTGGGTGATAATTATTTATTTTGACTGATTATTATCTTATTATGAATAATCGTTTTTATCAAGAAAATTAACTAAAGATAAGTTTTACTGTTTTGAAAGTAATATGGTTGACTTCATTCGAAAAATAATACATTGTCTGTTTTGTATTATTGCAAAAGATAAAAAAATACTTCTAATTGATTGTTTAATTAATACTTTAATTTAAAAAGGACACGAATGAACTATTCAAAACCTTTGTTAAACTGACAAATGTACATATATATATTTACAATAAATAATAATGTGTATGTTGAAAAAGTATATTAATTGTTCAAATAAAAATTTTATGTTGAAATCACTAAAATGATTTCTAATAATTTTATTTGGTTGTAAATATCTTCTGTATATACAACAAATGTAATGAGTGAATATTATTATTTGATTTTAAAAACTCTGCATCCCATAATTTCACATGCTTTTTTATTGTTCAATTGTTGTTCTTTAAAACTGGATTATAACATATAAAAATAATAATTTAACAATACAGAAATATTGTTTAAATCGTTAAATATAGTTTTAGCAATTTTTAAAAACATTTTAACTCTAAAAAACTTTTTAAATTTTTTGTTGACAATATGCTAAAACTTAAAATGAACTGACACGTATTAGAGATTGCCACGAAGTTGTTTAAAAACTGGATCTTGGCCGACCCTGCCGCAAGACAAATTATTCTCCTTACTGTACTTTATTAAAAACATAAAAATATTTTTAGTATGTTTTTATTTATTTATTATAAATATTTAGTTGAATAATAAAAACAATGTGATTTTCAAGAACAATCCAATATAATACCATATATGTTTAAATCTATAAAAACATTTAATTTTTGATATTTATGATTATCAATATTTTATTATTGTTTATTTGTGTGAATGCAATTTATGTCGGTGAAGAAGACTGTGAAGATTCTTGTATACTTGACGAAGAAGAGGATTACGGGTACTCAACTTCAACTGAAATAACAATAACCCAAAATTTTATATTATCAGGAGTTTGCTTCACAACTTGTTTCAAAAGTGTCAATACAATCATTTTCCAGCCACCATTTACACCAAAACCGTACACCATATCTTTCTATGGAATGACCGAATTTCCAGAGAACATCAGAAATGGAATGTTAAAATTTCTAGATAACGTGAACGTCAAATTCAATTTATATGGAGACTCGACAGAGGAAATGCCACATTTCGAAGATGTCAAAAATTTAAGAATTGGTCATAACGTCTCTTTAACTTTGTTTAACAGTCGGTGGACTTCTTCCAAAGTGAAAGAACGATATGAACTTCACAAACCATTGACATTGAATAACAATTTAACTTTAACAATTCCACTTTTGAACCAAAGTAATGACGCATTCATTACAATGACAAATACAACTCTTATTTTTGGGGTTTTCGACTTTATGTCAATTGATAACTATTTTGGTGATGGATCTAAACTGTATTCTTATTTTGAAAGTGGTACTAATTATTTAAACGTTACTAGAGATCTGTATATCGACACTTCCACTGAAATTGTTGGCACAGAACAGAAGTCATTAATTGTATATTTAACAAGTATATCATCAACAACTTTGATAGGTTCAGTGAAAATGATTGTGAATCAAGTTATACTTGCTGATGCGGATTTGTTACTAAGTGATGCAGCGTATATTGAAACTAATTTGTTCTTAAACAAAGATGATGATGGAACTGTTTATACGAAAAATACGATTCAAATATATACGGGTTCTTATATACTTGTTAAAGATTCAATTGATATGTCTTCCAGTTTTATAATAGCTGATACATCTGAATTACGACTTCTATGTCGAAGTGTTGGGTGTCAGAACTTTATATCAAATTCAAAAGTGTCTTTAAAAAATAATGGAATAATAAAGATCAACACGGACATTACTTTAGATAGCCAAAGCGTTATAATAATGACTCAAAATTCAAAAATAATGAAATTTCAAACAACCAACAATGTCAAAATTGCAATAAGTGGGAATTTAACAATGAATGATAAGAGCAAAATTCTTGATTGTGATGTGAGTTCGAGAGACGGATCCAATTTGGTTTTAAATCAAGAAAGTTCAATTATTGGGAATGAATTTGGGAATTACTATGGGACTGTTGTAATGAATAAAGCCGCGTCGATTCGAGTTGATACTTTTGTACATGCTGGAATTCTTGAAATGAATGAAAACTCTCAGTTTATAACACAAAACATGACTTTGATGGCAATAAAAGAGAACACAACACAATTTATTATTAAAGATAAAGCGGCTGTATTATGCAATCAACATCTCAATGATACTTATGTAACTAAAAAAGTGGTTTTTACAGTGGAAAATCGAGAGCCGAGTGAAACCCCCGTGTTTTCTTTTGCATATCCGTCTGCCATCAATTTATCAATATTTTTAAACTTGAAAGCTTCTGGAGAATTTGATTACGTCTCAATGAAAAGTCTGATAAATGGAAGTGTTGATGACAAAAGATTTGTTTTACTTTCAGACAAGAAACTACTGAGATTTGGAAGTAATCAAAATGTTGAATGTGTTTTTGAAGGAAACAGTTTAAACGAAGTGACGGTATATAACAATCCACATTGCCCATGTACTGACAAAAAGTGTGTTCTTATTCCCAAACAAAAAATTAATGATTTGACATTGGAATTCTCTTTTAATGGGATTATAAAAGTTAATCCAATTTCGTTGACTGTTCTCACTGTAGAACCAGTTGATGTAACAATCTCCAATTTTATCAGAATTAGTTCTTCGTATACAAAATCACCGAGTGATACATTGATAGGGTTCCAAATGGATGATACTAGCATTAATTTTCTTGGTAACAATTTATATACAATACAACTTTTAGATGAAACTAAAGTTCCAAAAATTATGATTATAAATACAATGGAAGGAGAATATTTTATTTCTTCAACAGGCGCTTTTATAATTCAAAATACACAAACTTCAAGTTCGTTAAGTTACATTAAAAATGGAACGATTACCAATTTAAAAAGGGGGATTGTTGTATGTAAATATGGGTATTATGATCAAACAACAAATACATGTACAAATTGTCAAGATACAAATTGTCTCCAATGCACATCAAAAGAAAACAATCAATGTGTACTCTGTAACGAAGGTTATATGTTAAAAAACGGCAACTGTGTTGAGAAACCATCTTGTTGTGAGTATTCAACAAGAAATTTGTGCTACATTCCGACTCGAGGAAATCAAATTATTTTGAATGGAAAATGTTCAGTTTTTGGAGACAAAAATTGTGAACGCGCAATTCTTGATGAATGTGAAATGTGTGTAAAAACCAATGAAACTGATTACTTTCAAAATAAAAATATTAAAACATGTGAAGAACCAGAAAATTCGAATTTATCTTCAAACACCAAAATTTTGTCATGTGACACAAATTATTATTTGACTAATCAAAAGTGCGTTAAGTGCTCAGAAACTTATTCAAATTGTGATATTTGTGATTTAAATAATTGTCAACAATGTTCTTCAAATTACAATTTGTTTAATGGAAGTTGCATTGAAAACTTATGTGCAGAAAAAGACCAAAATGGGCTTTGTATTGCAGATGACGAAAATTGCCTTCCAAAGATGTTTTTGAACAATCGGTGTATTCAATGTAAACCCAACTTTTATCCAAATAGTTATGGAAAGTGTTCTTCTTCAATAGAAAATTGCACCCATCCCTCTGTATATGGATGTCTTCGGTGTTCGTCTGGATATTTTCAAGACGACAATTTTCAGTGTCAGAAATGTGATGAAACGTGTCAAACTTGTGATAAAAAGAGTTCGAAATGTGTGACGTGTCATAGTGGATATTACCTTAAAAATAATGTATGTTTGGAAGTCACTGGATGTAAAGATGTGTTAAATTCTGGGACTGGATGTGCATCATGTTATGATGGATCATATCGAAGTGGATTGGAATGCTTCCCGTGTATCTCTTCCTGTTCATTATGTCAATCGAAAAGTATATGTTACACATGTAAAGATGATTATTACATGACAATTGACAACTTATGTCAACTCAAATCTTCAATTGAAGGCTGTTTTAATAATGTGACTTCATTTGGATGTTCTGAATGTCAAGATGGGTATTATACATATCGAGAAAGAGATTGTCGTAAATGTGCAGAGTCATGTTTGACATGCGATAACAAAAATGGTTGCACTTCATGTCCAACAAGTTTTATATTGAAAAATTCAGAATGTGTATCAATGGATAATATCAACAATTGTATTGAAACAGAAAATTCAATGTGTTCCCAATGCAGTGGGTGGTACTTACCAAGTGAAGATGGGATGTATTGTATTTATACAATACCTTTATGGTTTATTATAGTAATGGTATTACTATCAATTTTTATACTAATTTGTATTGTATTTGTAACATATTTTATTGTACAAAAAACAATAAAATTGGTTTATAGAAATCGTCAAAAATCCACATACTGTATTTTCAAAATGAAATATTCGAATGTCAATTTTGTCAATTCGTCTGACAAGCGAGTGTTGTTAAGTAAAAACGAGCTCTTCAGAGATAATGACAATTTATTTAAAGTAAATTTTGAGTATAAAGATGTTCTCTGTGTTGGTAACAACACCAAAAGACCATTAAAGACACAAATCACAACGAAATCAAATTCCACAAAATATTCAATTCGAGCAAATCCATCTGTTGTTACACTAAAAAGAGGAGAAGCTTGTGAATTTGAAATTTTCATGACAATTATGTGTACATGCACCATAACCGATTGTATATTTATCATTGCAAATTCCTTTGTTGATAACATAGAAAGTCAAATAGAAGTGCAGTTGAATATAACATCAGAACTCTCTTCACGACTTGATCCAGAAGAATTAATAGAAGACAAACTATTAGGCGAAGGATCATTTGGTGTTGTATACAAAGGCAAATTCCGAGGGAATGATGTCGCCATTAAAATGATGAAAAATGGTACAAAACATGATGAAGAACAACTTAAAGAGTTTGAAAAGGAAGTAGAGATGCTTGACAAATTTCGAAGTGATTATATCGTCCATTTCCATGGAGCCGTGTTTATACCAAATAAGATGTGTATGGTCACTGAATTTGCAAATTATGGGAGTTTAAGTGACTTAATGAAAAAGAAAGTCTCTAATGAAGTTACAATTAAATTAAGACTCAAAATGATGACAGATGGTGCAAAAGGGATTTTATATTTACACACAAATGGGATATTACACAGAGATATTAAACCAGACAACATTCTTGTGTTTTCACTGAATGATAATGATTGTGTAATCGCAAAATTGACGGATTTTGGGTCAAGCAGAAACATCAATTTGTTGATGACTAACATGACTTTCACAAAAGGTATTGGAACTCCAACTTATATGGCGCCTGAAGTATTAAAACAAGAAAAATACACTAAAAGTGCAGACATTTATTCATTGGGAGTTACTTTATATGAAGTGTTAAGTTGGAGTGAAGCATATCCATCATCAAAATTTAAGTTTCCATGGAAAATAGCAGAATTTGTTGTTCAAGGAAATAGAAGGGAGAAGCCTGAGAATATCTCTGGAAACCTCTTTAAACTCATTACACTGTGTTGGAAACAAAATCCACAGGAACGTATAACTATTTCTCAACTCTTATCAAGTGAACTATTACTTTAATATTTTATTGGTTTCATTAACTTATATAATATAAATTATAGTAATTCTATTATACTTTTTGACTGAAATGACAAATTGTATTAAGTAGTAAAAATATAATTTAAATATAATTTAATTGTTATTTTATAAATAACAATTATTTAATAATTATTTAATAATAATTTAATAATAATTTAATAATAATTGATGACTTTTTTTTTATTAAAAAATTTAGTTTGGATTTAGTCATATATACTATTATGTATAATTTTAAAACTATTTTCCAAAACCATTTGAAGATAAGATATCAAACTGTATTCAACAATTACTTTTTCAAGTGTCAATGCAATTACTTTTCAAAATTAATTAGTTTGTTGATTTCTTTATCATCACTTTCTTCCTCTTTAGTGATTCCGTCGTTTTGATTTAAATTCAGCGGATTTTCTTTTAAACTGGTCGCCATAAAATCATTGTTTTGTTTTTGAAAAGTATCTTCAATGATTCGTTTTGGTGGTCGAATTTGTTTTGCATCTTCCTTTTCTTCTTTTTTCTCTATTTTTTCGGCTTTTTTAAATTGTTTTTGAACGATTTCATTTTCACAGTTTTCCATCTCTTTTTGTTCCACAAAATTTTGGTGTTGGAATTGTTTTTCGATTTCCATATGTCTTTGCTCCTCAAAGTCTTGATTCTCTTCTTCGTGGTGACTCTTTCCTTCGTTTTGGAGTACAACATCGAATGGGTTTTGCACCCCAATTTTACATTTGAGATTTTCCTTTTCACTTAAGTTTTGTTGATCAATTCGGTCTTTTTGTATCAATTCGCTTTGTGCAGAGTTTTTTTGTATTTTTTCCGGATTTTTTAATTTCTCGATTTTCCTCTGAATTTTCTGAGTGATTTTTTCGTTCGTTTTAATTTCGTCTGAGATGACCAATTTACTCGTGTCGACGTTATCTGTAAAATAGAACTTTTCCGAGACAAAACAGAGTTGCATTCCATATTGAAATTGCATTTGTGCCATTTCCAAATTGAAGTCTGCTCGTTTCATGACTTTGACTTTTCCTATTTTTCCCTTCATATTTTCCAGCAGTTTTTCCTTCGCAAGTGCCAAGTAGACTTTAGGGAATTCGTGGAAGTGTGAGACAACAAATTCTTTAGCGTCTTCGTCGACTCCACAGACAAATGTTGATCTTGCCCGATCGACGTGGGAGTTTGTGTAATGTGTTGATCGGCATGTTCTTCTGAGACATCGTTTACAAAATGGGCAGAAATAGACGTTTTGGTTATTATCGTCGACGCCTCCATTGATCATGAAGCTTTGATCCATTTGGTCGAAGATCCGCTTCCGAGAGCTTTCTTGTTTCTTCTCAGGGTCCCGCGTGTATTTTCTCTTTGGAGACGTCTCGACTTTCTTTGGAAGTTGGTCCTGAAGAAGGACCGGAGGTTGGATCGGCTTCGCTGCTATATCGGAAGCTAATTTATTGCGAAGTTCAGTCAAGGGATCCATCTTATTATTCTTTGCTTTCTAAGTCTAGGTTTACCGGTAAGTCTTCCTTGGGACAAGGAAATCGAATCTGCTATTTCTTTATGGACTTTTTTCTATTCATTTTGTGATTAATATCTTTTTCATTTTATGTCTAATTATCATTGTTGTTGACTAAGA